CTGTTCAAAGATATGATTACACCTTCCATTAGAGAATATTGTGTAAGATAGGACTCTTCAATCTGGGGAAGAGAAGGCTGACGTTAGATTTGATTTAGATTACAATATCTGTGGCATGGAGAGGTTAAAAAAAGGTTTAACACCCCCGGTAGTTCCCAATACAGATGCTAGGGTACATTAATAGATTAAGGGCCAGTTTGGAGGAAACAAAAAGAGGTCACTCCTTGCAAAGAGAGGGCAGTACATGTGTGGAACTGCGTTCTGAAAGATGTGTGGCCGCTAATAGCTTATCTACCCTCGAAGGGGAGGTTTTGGAAGCGAAATTCATGGAAGGTTACCAAGTACAGTCCAAGAAACAACAAGTTTGAACAACACCGAGTTGAAAATAGTTGGAGGCTGTGAGAGTTTTCAAGGAAAGTAATATATGTTTGCTGTGTTTTTATTCATCTTGAGATAGCAGCTCATGGCCACTACTGGAGACGGGATACTAAGCCGTTCTAGTTCTGACCTACCAGGGCTGTTCTTATGTTTCTTAAAGGTTGTTTTTGAGCATGATATTAATATTTCGATAAAGACCTTAGCGTAAAAAGAAAAAGCATACTAAGCAGTTTTGTAATGAGAGGGGTAATATACCAGGTAATCACAGGGTGTCTGTGAGCAAACAGTGTGACAGACACCTACAAAGAAGGGACAAATGATCCCAGAAGCATGAAGAACTTCAAGTAGAGCTGGGATGCATTCATGTAATTAAACCTATTCCAAAATACTATGTACCACCCTAGCTGCCTGTGTTCGTATGCAGAAGGGACTGCTAGGACAGTTACAGAAGCTGAGTGTCTGTTTCACAGAAAGCACGGGCTTTAATTAAATTACATGAGCGGATGCTGTTGCGGTGTTTAAATGCATCATGAACAAAATACCAGTGAGGGAAAAGAACTAATCAAGCTATAGAACAACACTGGCACAAGAGCAAGGATGTATAAACTGGCCATGCGTGAGTTTAGGCAGAAAACTGCAGGAATCTTTCTTGCCGTTTGAGCCACAGAGCTTTGCATCAGTTGTTTAAGAAATGTCATGGCATTCGGAATGGTAAAACTTTTAGGGAAGAAAAGGATGAGGGTGCTTCCAATAGTTAAACTTCTGTAGTTAAATTAAGCTTGTAGGAGAAGTCCAGGAAAGGGGTGCAGAGCTCTAGCTGTTCCTTGGAGTTGCACAAGGCCTCCAGCTGCTCGGTGTAGCCTGCTGTGAGGCTCTGCTGTCTGTTTTGTCTCGGCCAGATTTTGTGTTGTTACTTAGCCGATCTGTGTTCCTGTCACTTCCTGACCATAGCTTTTCTCCTCCTTCAGAGGGTGATTTGGATCTCATCCATCCTTCTGTTTTCTGATCATGGCCATCTTGTGAGATGTAAACACTTGCTCTTTAGCCAAAAGAGAGAAGAAAAAAACCCAACAAAACAGGGTAGGATGTAATGCAGATTTTGGGGGTATTTGTTTGCAAGACCAGAAAATAGAAACAGTGACAGCTGCTAACAGCTTGAACAAATTGTTTGTAGTGGTTCCTTACGAAATAAATATGTTAAACCTTTCCCAGTTTTGCCTTATGTTCTTTTTTCTAAGCTGTTTATTAATAAAACTAGCAGTGATGATAACAGATTGGTTTTCCACTAAGCCATGTGTGAAAGTATCTTTAAAAAGAATTACCCGTGGTAAAATTCCACTAAATATATTCTGATGTCTGATAACAAAAATTTACAGCCCTGTGTCACCATCAACCAAGAAATTTCTATGGTAGTACATTATTTACTTCACCCTGGTGTTGTAAGAATGTTTCTGTTGTAGAGATAGAGTAACTGAGGTACCTAACGAACCTCTTTGAAGTCACACAGTTGAGGTGTCCAAAGTCATACTTTACTTGTATCCACTCAGTGTATGGCACCTGCAGACAACACAGACTGTTGAAAGAAATTGTGCTTGTTCTCTGAACAAAATACTACACTTTTAAAATTTTCTTTCTTTTTGTCTGGAGTGAGGAAGAAAGGTGTTTTACTTGTATATGGTTAGCATACAATCTCTTCATAAAGTTATGAGCTGTGTAAGTTCTTTTTTTTGAAAGGTCTGTGTAGCTGAATTTCTAATCTGAGCTTTGAACTTAGTGTAGTTTTGCAGTATTGCGGGGGAAATGGCCACGATTTGGAAGGTAAGTTTATACCCACACTAATTCTGGCAGGGTTTTTTTTTTTCTCAAATATCAGATTTCTCATCTGTAGAACGGATGGGAGATTGCACATGGATAAGGGAGAGATATGACTCTAAGACAGGTTACAGGGCCAAAGGAGATGAGGGAATATATGTATGAGGTGCCAGCATGGCTAGCATGTCAACAAATACATTTCTAGTTGCATTAGAGTTCCTTTTCTTATTTATGTCCATCCTTTATAAGTGGTAAAAAGTTTTTAAAAACAAGGAAACAAGCAAAACAAAAAAAACCAACAAAAAACTAATAGCCCAAGGCAAAATCAGGACTCTACTACACAGGAGTATAGAAGTAGCAGGGAATGAGCTAGCTAGGCAACACCCAGGAAAGAAACCACCCAGTGCTCCTTTTAGAGCACAATATGATTGTTAATGTCAGTGGATTCAGAGGACTTGGAGGAGGTCTGAGAAGAGGTCTGCTAGGCAGGTGTGTGAAGATGCTAATTACTAGGCATCCACAGGACAAGTGTTGAACAAGTGTACCTTGGTGTAATAAATTGAGATACGAAACCGGAGGTGCTTTTTTAGTGCTTAAATTTTCAGAACTTTTATGTCTTTGAAATTAATTTTTATAGGTGATATATAGGTGTAACTGGTCTGCCCTTGACCTCTTCATTTGATTGCTTTTCAAATTGTAAACTACTAGTTTTGTTCAGAAGCTTTTTGGAATCAGTGGAATTGTAGTACTGCGCAGACAGAATAACTCCACGTTCTATAAATAATGATTAGCTTGAATAATGATTATTGTGGTTATATGTAATGTGTGCTGAGTGTCACAGCTGATTTATTGTTACTGGTTCATTTGGTATATTTAAAAGTCTGGACTAGAAAGAGCTTTTAAAGGAATGTGCTTAGGCCCTCTGCTGATCATTTTGAGAATAGGGAAGAGGAAAAACTACCATGCAGTATTAAAATGCTGGCAAAGCTTGTCTTTTTGGGAAAGGGAAGATAATGTAGGAAGAGAACAGAACTAAAAACTGTTCTATTTAATCAGGGACATTCTCTAGCATTATTTTTAGAAATATCTAAAAAAAACCCTCCTCCAAATGCTAAACTCCAAAATTACAGTTACAGTAAAGACAGATTATCCTGTTTTGAGATGATGTAAAATAAAACCCTTTAAAAGATCAAGTTTGCTAAAAGGCCCTATCCCAGTGCTTTTTTTTTTCCCCTTATATTTTAAAAATATGTATTTAAAATCTAGTTCATTCTCTATTCAGGCAAGAGCCATAACAAAGTTAAATTAAGGGCAAGTTCCTGATAGTTACACTTGTCAAATCTTCTCTGAAGTTTCAAGAGTCAATTGAGAAGATCTTTTACGGTCAGGTAATCAGGCAGTCGGAGTACAAGTATTTAGTTGATGTGCTTAATTCTGAGAAGCTGCTTGAAAGTGTCAAGTCTCTGAGCTGTGCCTAACGTCACTTTCTCCCTCATTTTTGAATGTGGCTATGTCAGGGAATGTTTTGTGATATTTTTTCAAGTGTTTGATTATAACGTTGGAATGGGAGTTATTGAGTCTAGAGCTGTTTATTTGGAATTGATCAGTACCATGGTATCTTCTTGTATACCTCTCATTCCTGTGATATCTTAGTACAGACAGCGTGGCTACTGCACCACACTTCTCTGTTTGCAGCTTCTTAAACCCTCATTAATAAATCACATCAGCTTCTTATTAGCTAATGTGTATTTACAGTGCTTTGAAAATATGACATGTCAGACAAGGATCAGAACTTTCAGAGGTGGGCCAGTACAAGAACATTACAAAACACTTATGATGAGGATTTATATAGTACTGTACCAAAGTGAGACTATGGGGGGATTTTAGGAGAAAAAAATTATCAGGATGGGCTTTATGCTTCTGAAGTCCATGCTACTGTTATCCCTAATACAACTACTTTCAAAAGAAAAAAATTTTTTTTTTTTTTAACAACCTGCTTGAAAATGTCTATCTGCATTAGGACAATACTAGTGCAACATTTCCTGATGCCTAAACTTCCTTCCAGAGTTCTGGTCCTCGCAGCCTCCTCACAGCTCCCTTGATGTTGCCTAAACCTTCTTTCTCCTCCAAACCAGGGTGAAAACTCTGGGAAAGTCCTTTTTGGCCTGGTCCACAAACAAATTGGTGAGAGTTAGACAGCTAGAGGAGCCGGAAAACCTTGGTCAGCAGCTTGACTCTGCCAGGCTGCGTACATCTGCTAGTAAAGGCGTAGCTGTAGAGTCACTGTGCTGCTGCTTTGATGTTTCCAGATTCCTGTTGCTTCTTCCCATGATGTCATGGACTGATTGTTGCAAACCAAATTTGGTAGCTCTTGACTCATTTGTTTCATACTATCACCCAGGATAAGGATGCACAACCGGGAAATTCAATAGTTGAGGAATTCTTAAAACACCTCACTTGCTTCTAACCTGATAACAGAGTCCTGCAATGCCTTGGTACTCACATGTATGTCAAAATAAAATTACATAGTAAGACAGGAAGAATGTAGAAGAGTATATACGATTGTTAGGGTAGTGTTACTTGGTGCATTGAAAGTATGCTCCAGAGGGTTGGAGAGAAGCACAAGATCCCAAGGGTGAAGTTTTTGTGAAGAGAAACCAGTAAAAGAGTTTTGCAAAGTCTGTGTTATTGCTGAGTGTATCCCTAACAGCAGAACTTGTTATTTTGAGTTTACTGCTCTTTAGCTCTCTTCCTTTTTCACTACTTCTTCTATTCTTTTCTTGTTTTTCCTCTTAATTTTATTTCCTTAGATCTAACTGGCTAAAACCGTGCTGTGGGAGACGAGCAGCTGTGTGGCAGGTATTTTTGCTCAGTGCAAGTCTCAACAGTTTCCTGGTAGCCTGTGTAGTATTGGTGGTGATTCTTCTGACTCTGGAACTCCTAATAGATATAAAGCTTCTCCAGTGTGAGTAGGAGGATTATTATTTTTAAAAAAAATTTTTGATGAAATAAAGGCTTAACTTGCTGGGAGGTTTTTGAAGAGGGGAGGATGGTGGGGATTTTTTTTTCTCTCATTTAAATGATTACTAGGCTAGGTAAGAAATATATTTTTGTGGAATCCTGGTATAGTGAAGTCAGTCTGACCAAATACAATATAGGACAAATTTTCAAAGGATACAAGCAGAGTGTACATGCAGGGATCTGTATATACTGTCATTAGTACTTGAAGAGGTCTGTCCTTTGTAGGCATGCTCCATACACACAGAAGGAAGATCATTTGTGCCTCATTAATCTCTGATACTTTTCACCTGCATGTGGATGGACAGAAATTATGAACTTGCTAGGATATTTAGCACTATCTGTTACTAATTTACTTCTACTGAGGTGGGTAGAAATTGAAATTATGGTTTTCTATCTTGTAATACACTGAAATGATACAGATTTTCATTCTACTTCGCTAATACACTGGGAGTCAAATAATAGCTTGAGTAGAATTTTGCTTTGTCTGAATTCACTCTACGCAGGTTCCACAATGGAAATTTTAATGCTGTTATTTTGCTTCCTAATTCATCTTTTTTTTTTCTACTGCTCTTTTCCTCCATTCCTCTTTTTTTCATTTTTTTTTTTCTTTTATGGCACAAAGCTGACATGAACAGAAATACCAGCTACATTTTTTCCTATGCTAAATGTTGAGGAACATCTCTAGCATCTCTGTACAATCTCACATATGTTGAAATTGCAGCAGCGGGATTCAGACAATCCCATAAATGCAAGAATATGTAGCACGAAAGAGTCATGGTCTAGTATCTCCTAGGGCAACTTTAAACTGAGCAAATCAACTTTTTTTCTGTTGAAGTCCTTTTATTTTTGTGTTTTGCCAACTGATGTTAGTGGAGTTAAATTTCACTGTAAAGATTTACGTATTACAGTTTTATTAAGACTACTTTAGAGGACTTTATTGATAACTGCTGCCATTTCATAAACCCTTTAAGACGAATAAATGACTAAGCTGTCTTTCCACACTGTTGCCCACCATTTATATCCCTATCTGTCTGTACTGCACACACTGTTCTCAGCGTGACCACTGTGTTACAGTTATTTTCTGTGGGCTGTGGTGATTTAGCGTTCTGGATGAGGAAGCACAGATTTTGAACAAGTCTGTTGCTTTCAAAAAGTGTGAGGATTGCTAATTGTGGGCGTAAGTCCTTAAAAATTGAATTAGGAGGCAGCTTTCAGTAGTATTTGTTGAGGTGCCACATCTTTCTGTTTATGTAGAGAATTGTTACCTCAAAAGCCAAAGAGTTTAAAAACTGTTTCTGTTGATTTGTCTGAGATTTTTAATAGAGTTTTGGAGGCTCTTCTCTCGTAGCACCTGCTTTCTTACCGTTTATTTTCTGAAGAATCTACCAAAGAAAGCTTTATTTTAGGAATTATTCTTTCTCTAGGTGTTTAGTGTGTGTGATAGTCTTAAAAAGTCTGCAGCTTATACCTTCTGCGTGACCTATAGGTGTTTGGTGGAGCCAGATGATTTCCCTGTTCAAAGGCAGCCCCTGCCTGTATGGATTTTCTCAGCACCTGAGAAGGAACCCATTCCACTCAAAGTTGCTACTTTGCATTTTAACTAGTGAATCAACCCATCAGTCTTCTTGCTTTTGTTTTTAAATCAAATAAATGCTGTCTTGGTGAGACTGCTTTATTTAAGTATTGCAGTTGTGTCATATGAGGATTGTATGTCACTTACACTAAGGTTTTACAAAAACATTAGGACACAATTATGTTTTCCAAAAATGTAATTACAGTTTTAAATGATTTCTTATTCTGTATGAAAACAACCAATGCATTAGGATATGGTGCAGCACATGACTGCCAATTTTGTTCATAATAACAACTGCTAATCTACATTATAGACTGAAATTACTTAGGAAGCCTCCTTTTTTAAAAAAAAACACACCATAATAATTGGTGTTTTCTTTGACTGTGACATTTTGAGAGGATCATTTTCCTCTCATAGTTTTTGCACAGTCTTTGGCTGCATTGTGCACTTGTCCCATACACGAGTCTGTCAGTGTCAGTGATGGAGACCACGTTTGCAAATGTGTAGGTCACACACATGAAAAGGGCAGAGACCTTTTAGGGTATTTTAGCACAAAGCATATTTGTGCCAGAAGTAGAAACTCTGAAAGCAGGGGACACATAATAGATCTTTTTTTAGTCCTTCAGAGCTCTTCACATGCATTAACAAATTAACGTCTCAGTACCTTGGGATGTTTTGCAAATGCAGAAATAGGTATATATTAAGCCACTTGCACTTCATTTCAGAAAAAAAGAGGGTCATGGCAGGTTCCAGCCCCCACTCAGAAATACAGACCATGCTGTTCCACCCTCATCTTCAGTAGTCTGGGGAGAAAGCATCTCAGGAAACAACCTTGGTATTGCCCTCCTTCTGCAATCCAGTGCAGCAAGTGTGTCTGTAAAAGGCATCGGGCTTTCCTGAAAACTGCAAAGCTGAAAAGCTCCAATCCTGACCATTTGGTTGCTGGATCAGGGCCCTGTCAGTATAAGCAGTGCGGTGCAGCAGTGCCTTCCTTGGTAAGAAGGGGTTCAGGGCTTGCCCGAACCCTGCAATGAGCGTCTGCTGGCTGCTTCTCGCAGAAGCAGTGTTGTTTGCATCTGCCAGGAAATCACGGTGAAGAACAGCATCCCCTGAAAGCAAGCGCTGGTAGTACAAGCTTCTGTAATGGCCACTCGGGGTTTGCCAGGGTGTGCTCCTCATCCCTCTCCTCCTGGACAGACATTCTGAGGAGCTGTGAAAGAGAGGCAAAGGGGAGAGAGTAGAGTGAGGTTGGCTGTACTCGGCCTTTTATACTGAACTGTGTGCTGTGTGACTATAAAGGATTTGGATTTGCATTTACTTCTTCCCCATAGCATCAGGCAAGAAAAATGTGAAATAAAGCAGAGCTTTTTGGCTTTTAGCTATAATTGGAGGGAAAAGGGTTTACGAGTTCAACAAATGTGAAATTCTGTTCCAGATCCAAGTAGAAGCTGACTAGCTTAGGTGCTCAAACTGAATTCCAGAGATGTCTCTGAACCACCACAGAGCAACAGTGAGCACCTCTTGGAGAAGACCCTTCTCCCATTGTAGCGTTTCACTGCATTTTTGAAAGGGGATGTTTTGGAAGAGGCAAATCCAAATTCAGTGTACGGGCTAGTGATTCAGATCTTGTACAAAAGTTTCTTGCTTGGAATACTTTTTCAAATTTACTATTTTACTGGCAATGTAATTGCACACTGTCTGGCAGCGTGACCAGTACTCTGCTACAGTTAATACCACATGAGAAATTGATTTTTCTTTCCAAATTCGTGGTTCCTGTATCTTTTTTGTCCACTAAGGGGCAGCTGGAGACATGTATGTTAGTGACAGCTGTTAGAGAAATAGCTTACAAAAGGTTTCCATTTCTTGTTCTTTATGCCACCCTATAAAGACAATGTCTTGGGGAAATTAAATATATTACATTTTTCACATTTCTTTCTTCTTTAAGTAGTTCCTCTGCTGCAGTACAGCAAACCCTTTCTCATCAAACCCCAAATGAACCTCAGCCGTGAGTTCTAGTGACAACTCATACTAACCATTTTCTTTTTATCCTGATTTCTTGTTACTCTACTTCCCTTGTCTTCCCATTTTAATCAGTTACAATTTTAAAATTAAATGCTATACTTAGTGCATGATCTTGGGACTTAGTTGATTCTGCCAGTTTTGCGTACCTGTGCATACAGTTGTCAATTGCCTTAAACTATGCTGTTACACAGAAATTCTGTGAACCTGCAAGACCACACAGACAATTTTAATCTGTCTGGGGCAGGAATGGTAGACTCACAAATACCCTGAAGAAAATTTTTTCCCTTCGTTCCCTTATTCCAAATTTAAGAGCATGTGACCTTCAGAGAAGGAGTTGCCAGCACTTCAGTTAATGGACCCTTTCACCTTTGTGCTTTGTTTTGTCAGCAATGGGAGGGAACTTTGATGACAGAATTTCTGTTCAACTCGTTTATTAAAGAATGTTTCAGATTTGAAGAGATTTATTTAAGCTGATAAAGACAGTCCGTATCACAGCGCTTCTTTAGTCTTGCAGCAAACTCATTTGTCTGAGTTTACTTCATTTTGCATAGAAGCAAAATGCATTGAATGAAATTAAATCCTGATTTAATGCGAGTGAGTGTCCATGCAAGGCTTTAGTACTCAGTAAAATCGTACTTTTAATGAATTCAGATAAGCTTTCCTGAGTGTTCCTGCCAGTCAGTTCCTGAAAGGACTTTTGTTCAAAGCCATTCCACTCTGAAAGTGGAATAACTACCTCAACAATCTACATGCATGAAGGGAACTTGTATGAAAAGTTAAGTGTGTAGATTCCAGACTTCCAAAAATTACCATTTTAACTTACTCTTTACAGACTTTTTTTCGTGGAGGAGTTTTAAGTGAAGTGAGCATAAGTGATTTTAATGGTCACTGTCTTTCTAAAACGGGTGATTACAAAGGAATTTGTGTGTCTCAACCGATTACTTAAACTAGATATTTATTGTACAAATTAGAATTGCTGATATTTCACAAACTCCTTAAAATTAATATGTGAAGATTTGATCTTATTAACAGTGACGTTGGTTCTTTCTGTTCTGTCTCTCACTATGGTTTCCCCAGAGTCAAACTTCATTCAGAGGAAAGGGATCCTGAGCCGGTCATGACTGTTCATGGCACATCCAGAGAGCTGTACAAAAGTCTGCCTACCTAGATTATTGAGATGGTAGACATGTATTTTGAAGCCCAGCTTGAGCACTTTTTTTTTTAATCACCCATTCCAGACAATTACTGATCTTCTGAGCTGAACTGTCAGAGAATGAATACAAGGAGTAATGTGGGGATAATAGAGCATTCTGTTTCTTTACGGAATTCTAACTCTGGATTTTTAGGTCACACATCTCGTACTAAAGCAGTGCATGGAGTGAGAGCATGGAGCAGTGACAGAGCATTAAAGACCTAAAACATGTATGTCATTGCTTACTAGCAGTCTTGTCTGTAAAAGCTGTGATAAACTGCTGTGGCTGCTAACGTGCTGGCCTGAATTAGGGTGAGCAGCTGACAGGGCTGGAGTTCCATGTCCCATTACATCTCATTCTCTTTCTCGTACTACCATTGCAATTTAAGAAAACAAGCTTTACCCATATTTAAGTTGTAGCAGTATAATTATATTAAAGTTGCATTCTGCTACTATAATGATGCTTCGTTGTATTGTGTTAATTGCAGTTTCAAGTGCTTCACAGTTTGCAGGAGTAATTCACTGGATCAGCCTAGTCATCCTGTCTGTTTTCTTTTCAGAGGTACGTATAATCAAAATCTTTCACCACATACAGACCTGTGTATTTATGCTGTCACTGGAATTAGCAAGAGTTTAACAGTAGTTTGGCTGAATAAATGTAGCATGGTGTACTTTAAGAAAAAAAAAGTTAACAGTTGTCTCTCCTACTCAGAAAACTAAAAAAAAATGCGTTTAGATTAGTGCTGTTTGTCAATTGCCTAGAATTGACAAAGAAACATGAAAGATACTTTTTTTTACAAATTGCAGCTGGAAAACCACAAAAATAAATAGTCATCTCTGAATCAGAGGCACAGGATAGGACTAGTTTCGTTCATTTGTTCTCACAGAAATCTTACTGATGTCACTGGATATAAGGTATAGCAAGAAAATACATACTTTGGGAATGAAGATCCACAGGGGGTTTTTTACAAAAAGATCTGTTTTAAGAATAGAATTATCTCCTCTCACAGTTTATGTAGATAGTTTAGAAGTTCCAGGTGACTGTATATAGACGCAGTAAGAGAATGAAGCAAATGGTGAATTTCTTTGCAAAAAATTTTATGAATGCATGGATTGGAAAGAGTTGTAGTCATGATAAAAACGAGTCACCAAATTGAGATAGTCTGTTATAGTTTTCAGCTTTATTCCAAAAATAAGTCATTGATATTGAGCTATTTAAATTATTCCTGAAATATCCCAAAATATTTGTAAGACTATATTTTTTTTCAACTCTAAGGTGTTACTTGTCACAGAAAAAAAACCCAAAAAACCAAAACAACCAAAACAAATGTTTTCTGTTTGTTAAGTTGGAAGACAGCTTGGACTTCAGTATTTAAAAGTATTTTTTCTAATTCCATACAAGAAGATCTTATCATCCAAACAGATGTTGAAGTCTACACTCTGCAGTAAACTTAGGTGAAGGTTGCAAAATAAAAACCCCTAAACAAGAAAAAAACCAAAGAGCTGTGATATCTGCAAATGATTTGATACACCACTTCTGTTGAATTCATACTCACCGTGTTTATTTCCATGGTTCTATTAATGAAATACATTTATTTACATTTGTAAACACTTTGCATTTCTACTTTGTATTTCTACTCATAACAGGCATTTTCTAGCTGGTGTTGCCAGGCTGTCAGTGGGTGCTTTCTGCAAAGATTCCCTGGCAACCCACAGGGGTCTCAAAGACTACTTGGCAGCCTAGCCTGCTGGTGCTGCAGTTACACAAATGGTTGTGATTACTATCCCCGTGATTTGACAGCACTTTTGGGTTGTAGAATATGTGTAAACTCACTGACGAAAAAAAATCTCTAAACAAAAAATTTGCAGAGTCTTTCTTTTGTGAATTGTACATTCTAATTCTTTAAGACTGAGGTTTGCTAGATGGAGCCCATTGCCTGTAAAGAAGTACTTTCACCTCTCTCCCAGAATCTTTCTTCAGTGGGGATTAGTGCCCTGGAGCTCCCTGTGATCCTGAGCTTCCCAACAGAATCAGCTTGTACCTCTGCTGCTAGCAGCATGGCTGCACACCCACACCCAATGGTCTTCATTGCTTTCTGGAGCTTGTTTCACAAAAAACTTCTCCTGTGGCCTCCAATTTCTTTTTGCTGGGGTGTAATCTCAAGTTGTGTTTCGATTCACTCGTGACACCAACCACTCTTCTCGAACTCTGATGTGTTGCCTTGCTCCTGTGTCCCGTCGTAGCTCAGTTCATATGCTGGCAGTTTTTGGTCGGTTGGTTCTGTCTGTGCAGCTAGATCCTCAGGGCCAGCACTCATCTGTCTCAAAGAAGAGATTATTTGCTTCAGTTCAGCTGAGAAAGAGTACCCACATAAGTGGATGAACAGGTTCACAAGTGTTTTGCAGGAAAGCAGTAAGAGAAATACTTGACTGAGGCAAAACTAATTGCCTGGCTCGCCATGCTTTTTTCCTTCCTTCGGTATTAGGTATTTGGAACTGCTTTTTTTCCTCTACTTGTTCTCATTTTTTATAAACATCTTACCACTCACTTTATTATCTGTTTCTGTCTTGCGAAATATCTTCTTTAACCTATCCAATTATTATGGTTTGAATTTTCATCCCCCCCAAAGAAAAAGGCCATGTAAGGTGCACAGAGGAGGGTTTTGGATATTGGTTCATTTGACAGCTCACGGTCATTAACGGAGTTAAAGCAACAGAGGTGGCACTGCAGAGCAATTAGATGTGCTTCAAGGACACGGATCTGGATGAAGATGTACCTTTCCTTCTGGGTTTCCTGGAGTTGCCCTTGTGCCAAGTTGGTTTAGTGAGCATCAGCACATAAAATATGTCTCAGCAGAGGAGAAACAGAGGATTTGTTTTTTCTAATTCAAGTTAAAAGCTTTGATTTTTCAAGAGGTTACAAAACATTGCAGAATTTGCAGATGATGTTATTTTTTTTGCGTCCATCTTAATTTTGTTTGTTCTTTTGGTGCCATGAGGGGATTTTTTGCCCTCTGATTCTCAACACCGTGAGTCAACTGTCCTTGTTTTGGAGTTATTTGTTGAAAAGATCATGTGTTCTAGTGAGGTTTTGCAGTCTGCAGCTGTTCATGCCAGGATGATTTTCCAGAGGTGAACAGGTTCAGTTAGTTTGCCTGGATATAACAGGCAACTGCTGTGTATTGATTAGTCCTTCAGTCAGTGCCTTTTTCCTCAAAGCAAGGATTCAGGGTTTCTGATGTTTAGAAAGGGTTGTTTCCATAGCAAGTACCATCTCCTATTGTTTATTCCATAGTTTGGTTCCCATTAGTTGTAAGTGTGGATATACAATTCTTCAGAAGAGCAACTCTGACTTAGACTAGAACAAATCATCTGAAGTTGTAAAAGACTATTAAAAACCAGAAAGCTTTCAGCACGAAATCTGAATGCTTTGGAAAAATATGACTCATTAAAAGCTGGTGCTATAAAGGCATTGCAAGTAATTACTGTCCTATCATGTTAAACAGGCCCTGGCCCTCTGCTTGGTTAAAACGAAGAGGGGAAATGTGCCAGCAGCTGGCTAATGCCAGCACAACTGCTGCCAACAAAACAAGTAACTAGGCTCACAGCATCTTCTTGCTCTGTCCGTTCTTTATAGCCACAAGGCTTAAAGGAATTTATTGCACTTTGTTAATTTTGTATTCCCTGTCACTGTCTGTGACTTTCCAACATTAAAATATCCTTATTCAAGTGAAGTGCACATCTCTTTCTGCTTTTTTCCAAGTTTTTAAACAGAATTTCCTAGTGGTGATGATTGTGTATGTTTGTCTCTGTTTACATACATCACTATGATTTGTCTGTGCACCAAATGTTACCCAGATGTTAAGACAGAAGAGAAGAGAAAGACATTGGGGGGGAAACCCCAGTACCAACAGCAAGGCAAGGCCGGGGTTACACCCTATCAAGAGGGCAAATTCAGCCTTGGTAATAGTTGGCTGAGAAAGGAAGATGGGGAGTGTCACGGTGTTTTGGTAAGTGGATTGGAGCCTGCTTCTATTTTAATGGTCTTATCACGTTGCCCCAAATATTTGATTCTGTAGCTGTTGTTCAGTTTTGCTTTTCCACTGAGATTGATGAGACCATTTGAGTGCAACAGTTGAATTCTTTGATCTTAGTTGTTTGCGTTGCTCTGTATGTGCTTCAGTCAAGCCAAGCACTCAGGCATTCTGCTAGCTTTCAGCACTTGAGTGTTTCCCTCGGAGTAACCAAGTCTTCTGATGTGCTTAAAGTTAGGCAATCATGGAACTGTGGCTTTTTTTCTGTATCTGTGTCCAAGAAATGAGTTCTCAAATTGAGTAGAGCAAGCCTGGGGTCCTAGCTGGTAAATAATCTGTTTCATTAGCTGTGGCTCACAAGTACGTTTTAGATTTTCACTCTTAGGAGGGAAAAAACCCCAAAGACTTTCCTCATCCTGTATGTTAAAAAGAAGTGTTCACAGTAGTCTGACACTTTACTCCTTGTTTATAACAATCCTTGGAAGGAATAAAACCTCCTGAGGAAGGCCCTACTATTAGGGTTCTGTTAAAAAGGAAAAACATCCCCGATGACAGAACTAAGTTAAAATAATGTCTTTCCCATATAGATTTTTTTATAAGAAATTCATAATTTTATAATAGAGAAATAAACTATGTTACTTGTGCTACATTTTTTTGTAAGCTCTGAGCAGAAAGATAATAATTTTCTATTAATTCTATAATTCTTCCATGAGCTGTAGCTTCTTTTCTTGATGTTTACTTTCATTCCATGTACACAAAACTTCTCTCATGGTACATAAATGCACTGCGTTCCTGGCTCTGTGTGTTTTGATTTTTAAGGGAGTTGAGTAGGAGGGATCTAGGAACAAAAACATGGATTTTATATAATAATGTAATTTAAGTTAAATTTAAGCTTCCTTCTTTGCTAGTGTGTAAAAAGTTAAATATTTAATATAATGTGAAATTTCTAGCCACCTTTGTTGCTTCACAAAAAGAGTAGTTACTGGCGAAAATGGTTTCGCAGAGGTCTAGGAATTTAGCTAGACATGAAATGCCAGTCTGCCCATTTCATTTACAAGAACATACCTGACTTTATATGCTGTGCTCTATCAGTGCTGCTTTTGTGCTTTCATCTCTTGATAGGGACAGTCGACCACCTTCTACTCAGTGGCTTTCAAGGATAAGAATTAGCACTGGTGTTCTTGTGGCCAGAAGGAACTTCTGATGCAGGGATGCTTAAGACCAGTTTTCTCTCCAATCTGCATTTACCTTATGGTAGTATACAGCATTTCTAGTAAGCCATTTATATTTGTGAGAAGCGTTTTCGAATCTATCCGGAGTTGTCAGTTTAAAAGTCATTGGTTTTCTTCATGTTGTAAAAACAAATATTATGGGAGAACATAAGAACAAGGAGAAAGAACTTCAGTGTTTACACAAAAGTAGGTTTGGATACTGTATGACATCATAATATTACTAGTGTTAGTCAGTGAAAAAGAATATACTGCACTCACATCTATTAAGCATCACCAAGCTTTTGCAGTTTCTATGGGAGCACATGTGCTACTAAAGCCACAGCAGTTGCAGAGTACATGGGGAGCATTTTGTGCTGGGTAATATGTGAGATGAGGTCAGTAGTTACGCGTTTCCTTTCAGAGCCTTGACTGAAGAGAAATCGCGTGAGGAGGATGCCTTTGTACTGGAAAGGGGAGGACGTCTCAGTGTAAAGATGCTGACATGTTCCTCCCTGCGCTGCTGCAGGATCTCAGGACGGGCACACCAGAAGATGGCAAAAGAAGATTCTTTTCAGTAGTGAATGAACTAAGGCCTCTGTGGAGTGACCCAAACCAGAGAGGTTATAAATTACAAATTGAGTACAAGATGTTCTTTCTGGGAAAGATTTAAAAAAATATTTGGCCTTCTGAGGTGTATCCAAAAAGCAGCAGCTTAATCCTCAGAGTTTCTGTACGAGCCAGAGGTAAAGACCCTCTGAAACAGATGGATTAGTTTTGTGGCAGTGGAAGGAAGGGCTTTTCTAGAGACACCCTTTCCACCCCACTCCATCCCATCTCTCTCTTGTACAATCTCTACCCCATCTCAAAATGTGGGTTGCTCTCCTTTGCTGTTAGCTAAACCTGGTGGGCCAGCTTCACCTCCTGTGCTGCCTCCTTTTGCCTCTCTACACTGCGGATGAATTTGGCAGCGAGTCACTGAATAGTAAATTGTATTAACTGCTGCAAGCAGAAGTGTATAAAATTACCTCACGTACATCGCAGTCAGCTGGCAAATGTAGCTAGCTCGTGTAGGTTGTGGGAATTCACATGGTTGGCTCAGCAAAGGACGTGGCCAGGCTTCCCTACAAAATTAGAGAGAAAACTTGCAGCATCACACAGTTCTTCATCACTGCAGACAGTTAATGCTGTGCAAACAAATGTGTGTCACTAAGGGATGCTGTCAACTTCAAAATTACTTTTCTGTCTGAAAACTGGTTTAAAATTTTGCTTTTATTTGGGTTTACTCCAACTTAAAGAAGTTAACAGAAGTGTCGAGTCATTTACCTTTTCTTAGTGCACTTGACAGACTTTTATGGAATAATTCAGCTTTTCTCAGAGAACAAAAAAATTATTTCTTATATAATTAAAACAACATGTATCTTAAGAACTTCCTAATTAAAAGATTACCAGTCCAGAAATGCTAAAGCATTCTTTTTCAAATGCAAAACCCCAAGCTGGCAGTGGCCTTTAACAGATAAGTACTCACACTGATACTTGGTGTTTGCTTTCAACCCTGTGTGTCCAAAAATGCAGAATGCCTGTAGCGTAATGCAAAACTATGTGTGTGCATTTGCTACAGTGCTGAAAAATGCCTGCACATCAGTAGGAAACAGCAGTGCTGCTCCTTTTTTTCCCCCTCTTTCTTGTAGACTCTTGCTTTTACAAATAGTGATAGTTACTAACATTTATGTTTGGTCTGTGATGAATGTTACGTTGCAGTTATCTCTTAATTCATACGCATTTTTCAGTTTGGTCCATGTACAGTGTGAAGGAAACTTCCTGGATTATTAATTCCTGTCTTTTTTTGGACTATGCTAAAGGTTCTCATATTTTAAGTTCCATACAGAGAAAATACACAATCAAATGCAATATATTTGAAATATATTTATGGTTACTTAGGAAAAATATGAAAATGTTGTTTATAAGTAATAGTAATGCTTTCATTTTGGTCAAAGTATTTATTATATTGAATCATCAGGGAGATTTACCCAGAGAAGTCCAAATTTACACGGTTCAGACTCCTCTGGGTAAGAGTTATGGCAGCAGCAGTGGGCGTGATCTCATGCTTTGAGAAAACAGAGGGACGGTAGAGAAAGCTAAGCCTGGTTGGGAGTTGCCTCTAGTGAGGACTGGCCGGGGGGCGGCAAAGCGTACGGCCCTGTGTGCCCAGGTGCACACGCTCTGTGACTCGCTCGTCATCCTTTCTTGGGTGCCCAGTTCCCACAGGGCACCAAGGAGAAGCTGCCTTGCGTGGCTTTTGTCACTTCAGTGGTGATGTGGGGCTTTTGCTAAGCTTTAAGGGCTTCCGTGTAGAACAAAAGCTTAAACCCTCAGTTGTGCCAGTCTGTTCTGAAGAGCGTGTCTCTCGGATGGGGAGCTGGGTCCATCCAGCCGTCACGCTCTGCCTTCCTACAGCGTGTCTGCTCTAGCTGAGAGCCAAGATGCTACTCATCAAGGCGCTTTTTGTGAGGAGACCTCACTTGTAGAGGTAGCACCAACAAGCATTACCGCATTAAATGTCTGCCAAGCAGACTTCCAGTCATTGCTGGCTGGTGCTGATTCACAACAGGAGACTGAAAATTAAAACATTCATGCTAGCTTCCAGCCCTTGGAACTACTCAGGCCCATTAATATGACAGTAGCACAGTCTGATTTAAACACTGTGATGAGGAATTAAAAAGACAGAAAGGTAAATCCTTTTTATGTTCCCTTAACAGCCCCATGGTAAATTCTATTTAGAGGTGTGAGACTGTTTCTATTTCCTTTGTGCAGATGTGCCTTAATATTTTGGTGCAAATACCTTTGTGCACGCCTGTGCAAAGGAAGATTTTCACCATCAGTTAGTGTAAAGGTGTGAAGTGCTCAGCCATCCTTTAGTTACTTGCTCACTGATCTAGCACTTCATTAATGCTCCCTAAGCTGCGTAGAAGAAACCAGCCGGATTTCTCTGTGCTGTCAGTAGAGTAGCTGTGGGAAGGGTAGCATCCCAAGCTTTAGACAGCACTGCTTTTCCTCGTGCGTTTCCTGACTGCTGCCCGCTGTGAAACCTGCTGTGGTGGACCCCAGGTTAACTAATATAACTGAATTTACAGCTCATGAGTAACTTAAGCATTTTGTGCAGTTTCTCAGTGGGTAGTGAGGGAGGTGCTTATGTAGTAGCTGGGACGGTTTTGCTTGAAAACATTCTGCTTGAGACTTGAGTTAAGACTGCAGGAACGCCTTGGTTGTACAGCAGTGTGGGTACTTAAGCAGTGTGGGTACTTACACCTTGTGGGTACTTACACCTTGTGGGTACTTACACCTTGTGGGTACTTACACCTTGTGGGTACTTACACCTTGTGGGTACTTACACCTTGTGGGTACATCACGTCACATCATGCTGGCGAATTTGGAGTCATTAAGGAATTTGAGGAGCTGCTGTTGTGCATCTCTTCCTCCATGTATAAACCTCAAGCATATACGTTAGTAAGGAAATCGCAGTGAGCCTTATCCTATATGCTGCGTTTGTAAAATGCTTTGGAAGTAAAATGTTCTATTTAGGATTACGGACCAGCAGCATTAGCAGTCCTTGGTGTCCGCATATAGTCTTATAATTTTTTGTAGAGGAAAGAGCACGCTGCATTTTTTTTGTTGTGGCTAGTGACTCCCTTTCTCAGCCAGACTTGGCCAATTTTTCACATACACCATTTCTGAGTAAACGTTGGCTGGTTCACTTTCCTGCTCATTGGTGGTATGAGGCTGGGCTCTCAAAGCACCACATCTCCCACAGCAATACCTTCCTCTGCAAAACAGGATTAAGTGCTGTTATCCAGGTTTGGAGTGCCAAGATAGAGCTCAGCACAGTCATCCCTGGGCCGAGTGAGGCAGCTGGGCTCATGGGCTTTGGCAAAACCATGCATAGGGATGGTACTGAAAAATCCCGTGTTATTCTGCGATTAGTTAGTGCTGCTGTATTGGCATAAATTCAGAGCTGGTTGGGATTTGATAGATTTGTATTTGTCGTGAAGAGGAGAAACATATATTCATCACAGTCTCTTTGTTCTGTGCAGTTCTTGGCATGGTCACCCCTCAAGCATAGACCTGCCGAGCTCTCTGTCATTGGTATTTTTCTTTAATGGAGCAAGTAGCATTCTGAGCTTCCTTGCAAGGCACACTGCTGCAGTTGGACTCTTCAAATCTGTAGAGTCTGTCTAAATCTGATCTTGTTGCTATTGGCTGAAAACATCCCTGCCGATTATGCTTTTATGTGAATTCAATTTCAGTCATTCGTTGGCTTAATTAATTTTCTTATTGCATGTTCTGAAGGCTGGGTTAAGAATCTGGAAAGGTGCCGTTGGATTTTTTTTATGGAAATTCACCGTTGGTTCATTCTGTGCTTGTTCTTTATTCCTCTTTTGTAGCTACTGATGCTACATATAGCTGTTTTGCTTCATAAAGGAAGATCACATAGATATTTTTCTCCTTTGTCCTGTGACTTTCTGGGATTTTATAATAGGACAACAGCCCTCTTCTCCAGAGGGGGAGAAATAGAGCCTCTGCTTTTCAAATTGATGAAGTGTCAGTATCTCTGGGCATTAAAAAGGGGCAGTGCTTCTCCTGCTTCGTTAGCAAATAGAAAGCACTGGCATATCCAAGCTGGCAAGAAAAGAGAATTGTGCCCCATTCCACCTGGGGAGACCTCACAGTGGATCTTCTATACACTTGGGTCCAGAGAGTGGGGAGGCTTGGTAATCTAAACCTCACAAGTCTAAAAGCAAAATTTTAGGAGGGTAGAAAAGAGGCAAACATTTGAGCTTGGAACTTGTTTGTGAAAGTTTTACTGAGTCCGTGTAGTGGTTGGAAAGCAATATCTGCTTTCATAGTAGAGAAGTGTAGGTATTCCTAGATCCTCATTATTAGTCAGAAGAAATGTATAATGCTTAAATAAGATAAAAAAAAATAGCCCCTAAATAGATAAAGGACTAAATGTTTTTCTAAAATTACAGTAACATTCATCATCTTTTTTTTCCCCTAATTTATTTTTCTAGACTATTCTGAGGATTGTGGTCCTTGGCATATGGGATTACATTGAAAACAAAATAGAGGTAAGTGCTCTTACTCCTTGTACTGTTTCCTGGGAAGACACTGTACGAATATTAAGAACAGCTTTGGGTGGCTGAGATCTCAGCATGCGCGTTCTTGTCATTATACGCATGTATAGATAGATGTATGATGCGATCCATTTTTCTGTGAGAGACTCAGAAGTGTGCAATATTTGGAAATAATTAAGGGAGGGATGGTGACGTTTTTGCTTTTTGTGTGCGTTTATTTCCTTATTAGAGCTTTGCTAATCTAACTGATACTGCCACCCTGAGTTAATGAGCAATGTGAGTGTTATGTGGCTTGTGTAACCCCATTCCTATAATTAAATTGAAATTAGAACTGGTCGAAAAATCATGTGTAGTTTTCTGATAGAAAATACTGGTTTGGGAAAAACCCCAATTTTATTGTGAAATTATTTTTTAATTACATTGAGTTATGATAAATACTGTAATTTACACCTCAGATTAAAAATGAGGTAGAATGTCATACTGTTACACAAGCAAATAAGGAAGTGCGTGTGTTAAAAATAAGACATAATCCCAATTTGAGCAGAAATCTGGAGATCAGGAAAATTACTAGCTCTTTCTTTATACTGTCTGATAGTTAATACTGCACAGGATGCACCAGAAGAAAATCTGGGTTTTCTCAGAACTTGAGTGAGTGTAGAGGCCTGTACGCTTTTTTAACTTGTTTTGCTGAAAAAAAATGAAGTGAAACTGAAATTATTGATTCAGATCTTATTATTATGGAGGTTAAATGCAGCAGTTTCTGATAATTCGTTCTGGTACTTTAGAACAGAGTGATACTGTTCACTGCTTGTCAAATGATGGCAGTGAAGAGCATTGCTTTTCAATACCCTGAATCATTATGCGCAGTTCTAAATGTGTAGTGCTTATAAAATCTGTGTCTTGCCTTCTTAGGCAAACCATTGATCAGTGGTCTTTGGCAGCTGGGAAGGGAATGAGAGTGTAATATTCTGTCCTACTCGGCTAGGCGAGTACAGAACAGACACAACACTTGCCAGTTTGTTCTGAAATGTATTTACTTATGCATTTCTCTCTAATACTTTGCACAGTTGCCTTTTCTGATCTAATCCCAATGCAACCAATGTCATACAAATCATTCTAAAGAGTCCCAGTTGTCAAAAACCTTGAAAATGCAGATATCCAGTGAAGGTGAAAGCAAGGAGTCTTTCTGTCTTGATATACAGCTGTTCTCAACCACGTTGTGTAGTCAGGACATAGCCAAGAGCCATCAAGTCTTTTCACTTCACCTTTTTCTAGTTGTCTTCTTGATCTCTTCGTGTAGGCAGTAAGATCTCTAGGCAGGGACTGTTTTTTGGGATGATGTTATGCCAAATAACAGGTAGAAAGTACCCATGATAATAAAACTTTTTATCTATAACAGCATTTTGGCTATCACTTCTACTTGGGGATTTTGGCTAGTATTTCCCAATACTGTTCTCTTGCCCTGCCCTCCCACCACAACTTATCTCTCCTCACCTCGTAAAATGCACTAAGGAATTCTGTTGTGCTACCTAAAAAGGATGCAGCCTTTCTGTGGCTTGGCCACGTCTCAGATCACTGTCAAATATGTACCATAATTGTATTTCTTTTGGGCAAAGTGAGAGCCCTTCAAGACCCCAAGAAGGAATGTTAGGATTATGATCTTTAGGAAGGATTAAAAAAACCTGATTTCTCTCTAGGTGTTTGATGGTGCTGTCATAATCTTGTCATTGGCACCAATGGTGGCCTCAACAGTGGCTAATGGCCCCAGCAGCCCATGGGATGCTATCAGCCTTATTATCACGCTACGAATATGGAGAGTGAAGAGGATCATTGATGGTGAGTGCTCATTCAGTTTGTGACTCCCAGAATTACCTGGCAGGCTGGGAAAAAGCAGATTTTAAAAATACGCGGAAACTGCTTGCCACCACTGTTTCTGTCATTCTCCTTCCTCTTAGATTTTAAAAGCACAGAACAGAAGAGAGTTATGACTCCCATGGAGGAGAGTGGGTCTCAAGTTCATGGCTGTGTCTCCTGTTCCCTAGGAGCCTTTATAATTGATCGGCTTCTTTATCTCTTAGGGCACCTTCACATCCCCTATCCGGTAAAGCAAATGCCCTGATGTGCTTCCAGTCTCTTGCCACCAGATGTCGTTCCCGATTCTGCAAAATAACTGTTTTCAATCTGCTTTTCTGGTATTTGCTGGACCCTCCCCATTTCCATACAGCTAGTTCTGTCTTGGTGCATTTTTTCCAAGTTCTTATCTGTAATACAATTTCTATGTCAGACTCCAGGAGCGTTTTCTTACCATGAGGGTTCCATGTTGAAGGTGCTCTCTACAGTGCTGGGGAGCTGTACGGCATAATAATGAAATGTATATTGGTACTGTTTGGTACAGACTCCTCTGGGGAAGTACCTGGGAGATAAAGGCCCAACAAGTCAAGGTTGCAGAGAGCAAAGCCAGCCACTGTGCCTGGAAGCAAGGACTCTAGTGTAGGATACTTTGTGCTCAGTGATTTCAGGTTACTGGGAAAAGAAGTGGAAAGGGAATAAGAGGAGGATCACTTCGCTCATGGGTAAAAGATCAGAGTCAAGTTGTTTTTTTGGGTTTAGGTGCCCTGGAAACTCTGTATTCAGAGTTGAGGAAGGGTTGAAGCTCACTGACTGAAGGGTACAAAAAAAAGTCAGGATCTAGTTAGCTTCAGAAAACATCAAGAATTGCAATATGCACTGAACAGCTTTGCTAATCAGTCTGAGTATGCCCTAGTTATGACAGGAACAAAATTTCCAGAGGTGTTCAGAAGAGCTTTTGAAAACTGGACTGCAGCTTGAAAAGCAATAGACAATAAATGCCTTTTTGTTTTTTAAAATATTCTTCTTAGTCTGCTATTTCCATTAAGGACTTATTTTTTACCACAAAGTCTAGGAATTAAATGCTTAGGTCTCTGGAATAGTTCTTTTCCTAAGGGAGCTGTGCTGTTCAGGTTTAAAGGGGATGAGCAAACTCTAAGCAGAAAATCCTCCTACCTAGCAGTTCAGGAAGTCTGTGGTAAACACTGGAAAATATCTGTGTTAGTACAGCAGAAGCTAGGAAGAGCATGCAGGAGGCATTTTAGCTCAGCCAGGCAAATGCAGGTCTGTCGGAACAAGATCTAGACTCTGCTGATGACCTGCATTTCACATGTTCGAAGTCCTTCCCCGGAGGAAACACAGTAGTGCTTTTCCTATAAGAGATACTCTGCTCCTGTAGATGCAAGGGGTGACATGCTTTGGATGGTTAAGCTCTGTAAAGATTTTCCCTCTGACCAAAGCCCAAATCACAGCTGGGTTACTTTAAGTGCTTATTTGTGTTTTCCAGCCTATGTCCTTCCAGTGAAAGTGGAAATGGAGATGATGATTCAGCAGTATGAGAAGGCAAAGGTTATTCAAGATGAGCAGCTGGAAAGACTAACCCAGATCTGCCAGGAACAAGGGGTAAAGTTCAGTTATGTCTTTATTTACACATAGCTTGTCATGACAAATCAAACAGTTCATGCACTTTGCTGCAAGCTAAGGTTTGAGAAGTATCACTAGGACTTCTCTTGTAAGGTGACAGGTCTCAATGTTAAGGAAGTATTCGCTGCAGCCGGGCTCTTGTCAAACAGCAGTTGTCACCCTCTGCTGCTGTGCCTGTGGTTTTTAAGGTGAGGAAAACAAATGTGAGGTATAGAAAAAGAATGCTCCCAATACGCAGTTTATTGAATGAGTATAGCTAGCTTGACATAATACTAAAAATATGTAAAAGTCAATGCCGTTGCTGGAGACTGCAGCTATATTGAGGCTGTATTCCTAGGAAAAGTATATGCAGTTGAAAGTTAATGAGTCTCCCTGCTTTAAATGCAGAAGGCAACCTCCTGGTAGGTCAGTCACAGGTTCTTTTGGCAGACTCAAAATGTTGCAATAGAAGCTTCTAGTTCCTGGAAGCAAGTAAAGATTTAAGACTCTTCCCAGGCCCCCAAATGTTCAGTGAATCAGTTTTGAGGTAAGGGAAGGTGAAGCATAAAACTTCTCAAATGAATATACTTAACATGAAAAAGGTATAAAGGCACTGTTTGGGCAATAAGCCAGAAGATTTTGCCATTTGTCTCATCCAAATGAGTTCTTGAATAACCTGCTTCAAAGTAGAAACCAGGAATGTATGTTGAGGCTCAGGCTAAGGAAGCAGTCAGGTGACCGTCAGACCACAACAGAATGATTCACCAAGTGACTTCTTGTTTCAGTTGTAAGGGTGACTATGAGGTGTCCAAACAAATCTGGAGATTTCTAGCTTCAATTCCCATTCTCCACTTGTGGTAGGTGCTTTCAAATACAAAATGATGCGACTTGTAAGTCTGAATGGCTCGATCAGTCAAAAAAGTAAAGAGCCTGAGTAGGCAGGAGGAGAGGCATCTTGTCCCAGAACAGACCCAGCTGCCCAAAAGATACATAATCTGAAGCAAGGATTTAGATGCCTGTCTTTTATCAAGGGACCTGAAATACTTTGGAAACCATCAGCATTTAGGTCCCAGAGTAGCTTTTTAGATTTAGTTCCAGGCCTTCTAGATCTCAGCCTAGGATTCTGCAATGAGCTCTTGGTAGTGTTAGGTTGCCTTGTCTGTGTGGTGACTTTGGAAGACCTGTTGACCGTGTGTCATTCTGTAACACTGTTTTTGAGAGTCACTCATGTTAACCATAACAAATTGCTAAACCTTAGACTTCACTTTTACCTTCATCTGCGTAAGTATCTTCAGTGTCAAAACTGCAGCCCTCTTCCTGAAGACTTTGCACAATGGTACTAAGTGATTCATGGTTCTCTCATGATCGTGAAACGAGCAGGAAAATGGTATATGCCCCATTTCACAGGGGAGAGATGATCCTTTGACCAAATGCGCTAGGCAAATCAGTGATTTCTGGTGTCCTATTGCAGTGTTTTGTCTGTTATACCATGCTGTTAGACTAAGTTCTTGGCAGTCATAAATTTGAAAACATTCTTTTTTAGGAAGTGGATTATGCAACCAGATAAGTCTCTCGATTTCTAAACAATTTTTGGTGTTACGAGTAAAGGTGGGCTTGTTATTCCAAGTAGGGTTTGGGAGCAGCTTTTCCTGCTCTCCATTCTGATACACGTACTCCTTATCTGCATGCCTGCCTTGCAAAATATCTGAGCATAACAGCCCTCATGTGAGCTCTGATGATTACAGTAGAGCTGTTCATCAAGCGCTAAGATATACTGCATTGGTAGATGAGTAAATCTGTGAAAACAGGGCAGGTTCTCTCCTAGCTTTCAAGTGTCATCAGCTAGGGAAAAATATGACTATAGAAAAATGACAGCGTGCTAATCTTTCTTATTTAACTGACATCCTGCCAAACATATGTCTCAGCTGTATAATATGAGGTAAATGTACTAATTTGCTACAATTAACAACAGAAGACATTGACAAAAGTACTGCACCCTTTCTTTGTAAATTATTAGCTTCATAATTCAGTCAAGAAGAAGTTGTCAGCCTTATAATATTCACATTAGCATTGTGTACAGTATCTGGTGGGAAAAATGTCTCCTAATGGTATTTAAAATTCTGCCAGGTTTTTGCTTTTTCGTTTGGTTGTCTTTCCTGACCTTTTTAGAGTATCACTTGTGTGCAGAATTTAAGCGTGTGTGTCTGGTTTTGCGTGAAGGATTGCCTGCAGTAGTCTGGCTGCTCTCAAACCTGGCATTCCAGTTTGCCTTGTGTGCGTGGAGCCAGCTCTGGCAACAGGAGCCGCCCGTCGGGATTGACCTGTCGCCTCGGCTGTGTGCTGGGACGCACCACTGTCAGCCCCAGTGGGAAGACTGGGCAAGGCACCACGGTTGCCTGCATCCTAGCAGTGGATGTAGGTACTGATTCATCCTGACGCTGCACCTCTGTGGCCACACTGATAATTTGAATTTATTTAATAACTATAAACAGGACTGAAAACATTCCTGTTAGAAACATTTCCCAGCACTTCCTTTTCTGAGATCTTGTGTTCGGTTTCTTACTGCTTTGACACTTGTCAGGCAATTGGAATTGAAATTCTCAAGGTCTGGGCATCTCCTGCAGCTGAAATTACTTTAGAAGTCTCAGACAAAATCTTCATTATTTCTAAAGAGGATTTTGGGGAAAAATAGCCCGTTTGTTTGGGTTTTGAAACAGAAATAATTGGTGACCAGTTCTCTGAGAAGTCCCATGCCCTCCTGGTCTGAAGCTGGTATTTAACACTTGGCAGGCAAAAATGGAGTTCCTGCTTTAATAAAAATAAAAGCAGAAAAGCTGCAACCTCCCTTCATCTTACTTTTTGATTTCTGTTTCTTCTGTCAGTTGGCTATTTTTGGCCAGTGATGAGGTATCACAACTGTAAAGTACATTTCCAGTCCTGAATTACATTGGAGACGTACTTCTGCAAACATGAAAACTCTTTCCAGATGTTGATTTTTGGCTAGCCATACATGTGAAAACCAGAATATATTTTATAAATTACAGTTGTACGGACCACCACTTTGTTCTCTGTAGTACTCCACTGAAACGGTTTGAATAGTTTGCTGTTTTATTTATTCTCCATTGACCAAGAAAGAAGTCATTAAATGGGAGTGGAGCATGAGAGGCAGTCAAGGCAGAAAATACCAAAAGGGCTGAGATAGCTGTACAGGACTTCACAAAACATGAGAAACATTAGTGATCACAATAACAGGGTTTTCTAAAAATTGGTAAAGGTAAAAGGTAGAAGAGTTTTACTGCGATTGCTATAAAAAAATACGGCAAGTGTATATTGCTGATGGTATTGTTTTATCAAAATAGCTTAACTTAAATAGCAGAACAAAGTTCCCTTAACAATGCAAATTCCAGTTGGGGCATACTGCTTTTTTTTTAGAGGAATCACCTGTAAGACAATTTTCATTTCTGATGATAGAAGTAGATCTGTTTAAATGATCTTTTCTGCTTAACTTTCATAAGAGAGTCACTCAGCTGAGTACAGTCCAGCCAAGACTTGATATTCAGCCTTATCAAAAGACCTTCTTTTTCTGTCAGCTCCCATAGAATTGAGTTTTTCATAATTCTCAAAGCTGCAACAACTATGGAAGCTATAATTTCTTTTTTTATCTTTGAATGTAATTTGTACAACAGCTGGTAGTTTAATGACAGGTCTATTTAGCTGGTAAAATTACCTATCGGAGAAATAAGTTATATTACCCTTTTGCTATAATTCTAGTTTATTTCTATCTTCCAGTCATTTTCTTGGTGAATGGAAAGCAGCCAAGGTCATCCTGTGTTTCATTCTGCCCGTAAATCATTAGTTTGCAACTGTCTCCTGATTTTTATTATTACCAACAATGGCTAAACTAATGGAAATAAACATTGGATTGTCTCCCAGTGGCAGATGAGTTTTAGGGCAGGGCACTCTGTACAGACAGCACTAATAGAATCAAGCAAAGTTATTGCTCCTGCATTAGACACCAGTAAGCTTCTGGCTAAAATGTTCATTGATCTCTCTCTGAAACTATGTCAATCATACTCTATTGCTAGACCATTAAAAGGAAGTACTATATGATTCACTGCTAGGTCCCGTTTGGAGTCTTACACGCACGTTGCAAAATATCAGATAGGAGGGGTGGCACATTTTCTAAAACCAGGCTTGTGAACTGAGGTGTTATTGAGAGCTCTGGGTAGGTCTCTGTCATTCTACCTGCCTATAAATAATCACCTAATGCATTCTTTGAGTGAGGAAGTGCCCAGGTATGCCCCATAGTTCTTTCCGGTTTGTTTCCTGCCAAAATATTGCTAAGTTTGTGCTGCAGGAGGACGTGTGACAAATTCTGAAAACACTAAGTAAGTTTAAGTATACCATCAACACACTTCCTCTTCATGCCTGACAGTTTAGTCACTCGTTCTTACATGAGACGGTCTAGATCTCCCTTTTTCTTGGTAGTAAGTGTCTTTTTCACATTAGCCACATGTGTTGCATCTTTATTGCCATCCGCAGCACCCCCGTGGGAGGTTATAGCAGGGCTCTTCTCAGAGGTGTGCAGTGACAGTACATGAGCTTAGAATATGCAAAATTCCTATTAAATGCAGGAACAAGGAGAATGGTGAGGTGCTGGAGCAGATTGCCAAGGAGGTTGTGGTATATACAACCTTGGAGATACTAAAAAACTTGACAGGGGAGGCTTTGAGCAACCCGAGCTAACTGGGCTTGCTTTAAGCAGGGTGTTGGACTAGATGACCCTCACAGGTCCATTTCAGCCTACATTATACTGTGGTTCTGTGAAGTTTTCAAACGTTTTTTCCATTGCAGAGTGTGTTAGGAACTTACTGATAAAGGAATGCACCAGAAGCTACCAAAGTAGCTCAGTCAGTTGAGCGTGGCGCTGACAACGCCAAGGTCGTGGGTTCGATTCCCGTTCGGTCCCCATGTGTTGCCTGATCTAGTCGAGAGGTGGCGTCCCTGGCGGCAGGGAGGCTGGATTAAAATGATCTCTAAGGTCCCTTCCAGCTTAAGACATTCTATGCTTCTGTGAAAGGTAATTAATATGGTAGGTGTCTTGATAGAGTAAATATAGTAAATTGCTCTGTTTGTAATGATCTTGAGCCAGAAAATTGTTTACCTTGGTGTCCTTGATCACAGCAAGTGATCTTCCACACAACTGCCATATTTTCCCACTGTCTCTCTGTGAGATTTACAAGGTTCTTAACACAGAGCTGATACCTGTGAGTAACCTTTAATTTAAATAAATCAAAGCATGTGTGTAAGTTTATATACTTTTTTTCCCTCATAATATTTATAATATGCATCCTTCCTTACAGGCTGAGGGAAGGATGATCTCCCTGAAAATAGGAAACATGGTTTTCTCAGTGCAGCTCTCCTGCAGTGCTCGGTATCAGCGAAGCTCGGGTCTACATTCAGATAGCTACATCTGTTCATATGGCAAATAGAAATTTTATGTGTTTAACTTGGCCCAGAATTTTTACTTTAAGAGACTGTTGTATTTTATACCTTTTAATGATTTATTTAACCTGCCCTGGACTGCATGACATGTGGTCAGAGCAATCTCATTAGCTCTTCTACACGTTAGAACTGCCTGAGGTCAGTATTTAAAATGATGTTCAGTAGATACAAGCACCTGCAGCATAATTTTCTCATGCAATCTCTCATTGAATTACACCTGTAAGGAATGCCCACTTCTCTAAGATTTAGCCTGAGTTTTTAGTGGGTTGCTTTTATTGGCTGAACCTATAATCCAGCTTCTACAATATCTTGGAGTAATTTTTAAGTAATAATTGGAAACAATTACTATTGAACTGATCTCCTGAATGGATCCATGCCTTTTGCGAGCAAAAATCTCTTCTTTTTTGCTTAACTTTTCGTAGACTTTTTACTGAATGTCCTTTTATTTTCTTAAATCAATCCTTCTAACTGGTGATTTTTCCATTCCACTTAGTGCCTTTTTGAACATGCTGGAGTTTGGATTTGCGTTTGGAAAGGGTGTATTGGATTGGGCTTTGGCTCTGTCTTCTTCTCTGTCTGTAACAGGGTTAGAGTTCTGCACCTCTGTGGAACACGTACCCATCCTTTGCATCAGTAACAGTGGATGTGAATGTGAGACAAACACCGTTATTACAATGAGTACCCTCTTCTCTGCCAATAAAAAAATAAAATCACAGTTACACACAAAACAGTCTTTTAATTCTAGTATTCCACTGTTCTAATGACTATGTAGATTTCAGGGCAAACGTGACTGAGGCCTGGAAGCTGACCATCTTAGCGGAAGGGAGAGCCTGTGTTAGCCAGCTACAGCTGCATGGCTTTGTAGGCCACATCAGTTTCTGCTGTTATCTTTCTGAACATTTCTGTGTGCTGTTATTCTACATATCCTTCTCATCCTCAGGCAGTGGATGAGGAAAGCGTTGCATGAGCCAAGGCATCAGGTCTAGGTTTCAGTATCTGCTGGCATGTGACATTTGTGGGATCTTCATGAGCAGGCTTTTCCTCTGCTGCTGTAGACACAAGCCTGTATTTCTGTCTTTCAAACATACGATGGCAGCAAAGCCCCTTCTCTTTGTAACAGTAGCAGAGGTGCTAGCTGTTCACTTGAATAATGATGGTAGCGCTTTTCTCCATGGATTCCAGTTTCTCATGCAGTCTGTGTGGCTGGGATTCAGCCAAGACGGTAGTTTTGGTTGATAAATAGGAAATAAAGAACTGTTTGGACAAAGTGTTCTTGTCCAGCATGGTGACCTCAGTGATGCTTGCAGACAGCTACTTGGTCGAGTATGCCAGGGTGAGTAGTTCATAGCTTGTTGGCAGAGCCATAATTAAAAAAAAAAAATCATCAACTTAGCTATTAAAAACTGGATTGTGGTTGGGCGTGGAGATTTTTGAGACTGACAATAATCTGTGGGTATTTGGAAATGCTTGCTTATCGACTGGAATGTGTAAGTGGGCATCAGAAGACCTGGTCTCTTCCCCCTTTTTTGCTGTAGGTTCACTGTAGCAGGAAGGGTCACCTAATGTGCTTCCTTTTTGACATCTGTAAAATGCAGTGATTCCCTGCAAGCTTTTGATTATTACAGGGTTCAGCCAATCTTTGTATATGCTTAAGCTGGTTAAATTGAGTATGATGCAGAAATACAATTGTTGAGCTGAGTTTTTGGCAGTTTTGTCTATTTGTGTTATACCTGCTAATTTATGGGTTTTTCCACGAAAAAAAGAAATCGTATCCTGCCACTCGGCCAGAATTAAACATTTTAGTGGCAATATTTCTTTTTCTGACACTCAAAAATGTTTTTGAAGGATGAAATGTGAAATGTAGACAAACAGTAATGATGCCTAATTCTTATTGCTTTTTAGCTTGAGCTAGCAAGTAGATAGGGTTAAGCATTGTTTTTTAAGAAAAAAAATCTTCAGATTTAATTTTTGCCAGTCATGTTTGAGTGCATTTCTTCCTTTAAACCAAGGTAGTGCCTGAAAGGTTATCTTTGTCCCTTTAAAGGTGAAATGTGAGATATTTGGAGATTATTTTTTGCCAAGTCAAGGATAAAAGCTGAAGTTCTCTGTGTTGTAAAGTTGACTCCAGATGGGCCTTTCAAGCTGAATGACATGTTCATACCTCTGGTATGGCACAGACACCTTAAGCCTCAGGAAACTTAGGGCTGGCTCAGAAAAGAGGTCAAGGATAAAAGCTGAAGTTCTCTGTGTTGTAAAGTTGACTCCAGATGGGCCTTTCAAGCTGAATGACATGTTCATACCTCTGGTATGGCACAGACACCTTAAGCCTCAGGAAACAGGGCTGGCTGAGAAAAGAGTTAGCACTACCAGTTTTCTATTTCTTCCTACCTGAAAGGTTAGCACAAAGCCCACCGTCTGAGATCTGACATGGAGCCTTCATTGAAGGAATCAAGGACCAGGGCTGTATTTTGACACTTGCTGATACTACCGGACTCCTCTGACTGCAACTGCCAGAGGACCTTTGGTCGAGAGCAATAAGCATTTCATGCAGCCAACTGTCTGCAGCTGCCAGACCTCTGCCCACTGCTTTCGGAACAGAGAAAAAGCTATGTGCTTTGTTAGACCCCTGCATTCCATGGTTTGAATGTGTTCTGGAAAGCTGGAACTGCCCTTTTGTGCTCTAGATTTGAGTCTTGAAGTGGGCCTTCCAGTTATTGTAGTTCCTTCCCTAATGCTCTGGAAAGCAGGTAGTGTCCACATAGAACAAACTGGAATCCTTTTCCTTTCTTTTTTTTTCTTTGCAAAATCCATGGAAACTCTTGTTTCCCCTCCAGTTGCTTACACAGCTTGGAGGAACGCTGGTGCTCTGCAGCATGTCTGGCGTTTGCACCACATCCGATGTGGACTGTGGTGGAACAAACTGGGTCCACTGACAGATTCCGAAATCTCACAGCAAAGTAGATTTGAGTCAGCATCTAAGAGGCAAGAACCAGAACCAGTTTCATTTAGCCTACATGCTGTTACACACCAGTTTTCCAGCATTGGGGTGCTAATTCCATCTCTGTTGTAAATGCGGTGTGACAGGTGCAGCGTGGCTCGCCATAACATCATGCTCTCTGATGGCTTTTCAGGCCTTGAACTATGGGAGCATTGCTAAATTTTAAATGCCTTAGCCTATTATTCGCCTCATTTGCTTTTCCCTCTCAGACCCTCTATAATTAGACATGACTTTGGTCACTGCCGTACTACTGATCTTAGAGTTTAAAAAAGAGAAGCTCTGCCATGCAGCCCCATAGCTGTGCTGGGTGACGGAGGGAGAGGACAGTAGGATTTTGTAGTGCTTATAGAAGGGTTTAAAGGGTCTCTGCAGTGTCTCCAGAAAAATTATTTTCCCGCTTGCATCGTGGAAGACCTGTAGCTGTCAAACACGAGAGAAATATGCTGCGTCCATCTATCAAATTGTACCTGGTACCTTCTGTCTTTTTGTCAGGTGTTTGCTTTATAACACCAGTTATGAGGCCAATTCCCTCCTGATTGCCAGAAGACATTAAATGCCATAGCTCATATATTTGAGGGGAGTGGCCAGAAAAGCAGCAACCTTCCCCAGGGTTTTCTGCACACTGTTGAGGACAGAAGATTTCAAGGTGGAAGAGGAGTATGGTGCTTAGAGAACGTCCTGCCACAGAAGTCCTCACTACAAAGTCTTAGCAGGTTAGGGATGTTTGTCATGAATCTAAATCTCTAACTGTTTAGAGTGGTCTTCTATAAATATTTCATTGATTTGGCAGTTAGATCTATTAAAAACTGTCCAGAATCATCTCTTCAGAACGCAGACATGTACAAAATAGAAGACAAGTATGAGGCAGTGATTATTTCTCGATTATGTGAACAATGGTCCAGCTCACATGGGCTCTGGGAGAACACTAGCAGCTCGGACTCACATCCCAGCTCAACAACGTTGTATTTGCTGTCACCAGTCTGTAGTGTTTAGTGAAAAAATGAGTAGTAGGTCCCCAACTGTAGAGTATAGACTTCTGGCCATGCTTATATGACGTTAGTATGTGGTGTTGTTTTTTTCTTCAGTTTGAAATCAGGCAGCTGAGGGCCCACCTTGCTCAGCAGGATTTGGACCTGGCTGCAGAGAGAGAGGCTGCGCTGCAGGTCCCACATGTACTGAACAAACAGAGCAGCAGCAGGTACAAGGTGGTAGCAACTGACGATTCGGATGATGAAGCCACTGAGAACATCACTGAGTTGCGACGTCCACGAGGTAAGTGCTCCTGTTTGCTGCGACCTGCCATACTCTTACGCGGAGTTAGTGAACCCACTAAATACCTTCACTCTACCAGCGAGTTGATTACTTTCCCTGTGTACTGCATTTTCCTATTTTTGCAAAGAGGCTATGTCTGCTTCGAAGGGAGAGGAGCTGTTGTGTTTGCAAACAGATTCTGAACAGAGACAATAAAATGACTTGGGAAGAAAATGACCATGATGCACCTCCCCAGTGTCATCATGATTATATTCATCAAACAGTAAAGCAGCAGCAGCCAAATCAGAGTTGGCAAAAGGATGATCAGTCAGAGGTAAAAGCAGGGAAATTGAGAAGAACATCAAAAAACAGTTTTGGGTTTTGGCCACTTGCATTTCTGTGCTTTAGAGAGGACCCATGCATCGGCTGAGAAGCTTGTCTTGCCTAGAGACTATGCTCTCACCGGGTTGCCTAAACTGCCAGTGCCGGACAGCCCAGCTGTGCTTGGACAGGACAGGTCTAGTGCCAGGAATGAAGTGATGCACTGCGTAGGCAGCTCCCGCTCGGATGTCTGAGCGGCCTGCAACCCACGAGACTGTGGTGAAGAGCAGTCCATTGTCTGTGAGCTGTCTGTTGGGCAGGTGTGTAGTTCAGGGGAGTATCAACAGTTACATTTACTTGGATGCATTTTTATCAGACTAGAAGTATTTTTGGAAAAGACATAGCTCTTTTTCCTGTGATCCCTCAACCCTTACAATGGATAGCAGAATGTGTCCTGATCTCAGTAACATTTAATGTAATATTCCAGAAGAGAAAACACTTTCTATCTTAGTGATATGTTAGTCTTCCTTGGACATCTTAGCTTGATTATTTTAGTAGAGGAGCAATATGTGAATGTATCTGAATTAGAGGTTTGCATGGTATCTTTATTTTGATCAAACTCCTTAGAATTTAAAGCACAGAAGTACTTTAATGAAAAGGTTTAAGAGTAAAAGCTCACCATGTTTTCAAATAATAATCCTTTCCACTCTCTACATGAAAGCATGTAGAAGTTGTCTTTGTTTTTTCCTCTTTATAATATCTAAGCGCTAACCACAGTTCAGTCATTAATTATTCCTGATTTGAAATTGTATTTAAAAGCAGACAGTTGAGCAGACTGCCCCCTAAAATGCATTTCCCCCTTTTTTGTAGTATTTCAGAGGTTTCCCCAGTGGGTATATTATAATTTATGCATGTGTTCCTTGAGGGTTACATTTGGAACTGGAAAGTGTTGTGCACATTATAAAGAGGCTTGCTGAAATTTTAGTGCTGTGGAGAGAGATTCATCTAAAAATTCTTCTGTTCAAGATACTCATTCCAACATCCAGGTTAGAGTTAACAACACAGTTACTCAGTATTTGTGCGTCCCTGTAAAATGCTGGCCACACATACAAGAAAGTAGACCCACTTCCTTCAGGTTTGATTTCTACATTCAGTTAGGTTACATGATTGGAGAGGTTCATGGTTTTTGCTGAAAAAGACATTCAGCAAATAAGAAAATACCCAATACGTAAAGTAATGAATAAGGTGCAGTTATATTTAAACATTCATACTGAGTATACAGAATTAATTTCTGGTTCCCTGAAGTAATCTAAAAATACCAGAAGAAATATTTTTGTGCATTGTATCATGAATTGCATACAAAGCCTTTGTAGATGCATTGAGTGCTTGTATTCAGACACTAAATTCAGATGACTTCTGTTTTAACAACTATCCTTCATGCTGAATGAGACAGGGCTTGGACAGAAAAAGAATTTCCTGTGGTCTTGTAGCAAGGGATGGCAATCCATGGTGGTCTGCCATCATGGTGGACTGGTGACGAGGGGCCCAGTCAAGGTTGTGTGAGAAACCACAAGCCAAGCACTAATGTTCAGTGCTTTAGTTCACAACTTGGGTAATAGTCAGTCAAAACAGACAGGTTTTGCCTGCAATTTCCTGGATTATTTTCAAAGTTCAACAAGGGCAAGTGTAGAGTTGGGAAAGAATAACCCCATGTGCCAGTA